AAAAAAAAAAAAGTCCACGCGCTGCATGGACCTGAGTCAGCGCGTATCTTCCGGGCAGCTTGTGAAAAATGCAGCTTTGTAGGGAGCAGGTCTGCAAATACTGCATTTCCAAAAAGCTACCCGCGGCCACGACCGCGGCCGCCTCTAGGGATGAGTTGCCACTTCAAGGTATTTTAAAGTTTCACAGGTGATTCTAGTTCCACAGGTGGGCGGGGAGAGCCGACCTGTGCGCAGCCACGGCGCAGTGAGTGCTCACCCCGCCACACCGCGGGTTCCTCCCGCAGAGTTGCATCGGCTACCTGTGGCCCTGGAGGGAAGTGGCTTTGTGCAGTTTGGGCCCCTTGCTTTCCCGGGACAGCGCCTCTGTAGTCACGCCTTGGCCCGGATCTGGCATTCTTGAAGAGAGAAGAGGGCTGCGGCAACTGTTCTCCAGAGGACCACTGCTGTCAAGTAATGTCACCTGGAAAAAAGGAGCCCTGAGACATTCCTGAAATTAGCTGTATGTTAGTCGGAAAGCACGAGGCTAGAGACGGTGGTTCTGCCTTGTAGCTGACTATTAAGAGTTACCTGGGGAGCTTTTAAAAATCCACTTTGATCAGACACACTCAAAGACAATTAGGTTAGAATCTCTGGGGGTGGAACCCAGACTTCAGGGTATTTTTAAGTTTCACAGGTGATTCTAGTGTTTAGGTAAGACTGAAAATATCGGGCCCCAAGTAATTTAACATGGGGAGCAGATAATTTGTGCAGACGTAGATGTAGAAAGTTAAAGAAAAAAAATGAGACCTTTTTACAAGGTCATTACAATTCGCTGGAGAAAAAGCCAGGATCTAAATTCAAAGCCTTGAAGGTAGGTCGGGTGTTCTAGTTCTAGCGCCACAACAATCCCATCAAACACAGTCATTTCCCATCCTGTCCTTCTGGCCACACAAAATCAGAAGACGGTTTGTAGCTGTAGTCAACTCCCTTTCAAACGTGATGTGCCCGAGTGCCAATTGAGCGAGGTTTCTGAACTATTTCCTGCTCTTGAAGTAATTGTCGAGGCTTTCAGGCAAAGTTTCAGTTTGATCTTACTGCCTTGAGCTGCTTCTTGGAGCAGAAATACAGCTGCCCCTGAGCTCCATGCAGGCTTCTGGTGGCAGTCGTAGGTGGCAAAGGCCTGGTGGTGCAGGGTGGACTGCAGTTCTGGAGTCGGGCCATTAGAGCTCGCTGGCATTTTAAAAGCTCACCCAGAACCAGGACAAATACGCCAAGGCTATGGCCATGTTTTGAGGACCTTTTGCAAAGGGGAACACTGGTGTGTTATTCCAGCTTTAGTCCAGCTGTGAGTCAAAGAAGCTGGCTTTCCAGTGTGTTGAAGATGGAAGTAGTAATGGGAAGCAAGAAGCAGAAAGTAGTCAAGACTTCCCCTTTGATGCCCAGTCTTCTTCCAGGACTCAAGATTGCATTCTCAGAGTCTGGTCTTCAGATTCTACACACACACACACACACACACACACACACCAGGTCCGTGCTTTATAAGTGGAGTACTATTGGAAAGTAGCAAAATTGTTTTAACATTTTTTAAGTTATGTAGGTGACACTTTGCTGTTTATTCCTCCTCACATTTAGCTTGTCATTTTTGCCACTGTCTGAAGCAGGTAAGGAAGTCTTCCTTCATGAATATCTTTAATTTTGCTGTCACGGATGCCTTATTGTCCTAACTGGTTTCAAATGTTTACCTTTCCTGGTTGTTTTAAGTTTGAGAACGAGCCAGGAGTTGCTTGGTGCCAAACCTGGCAAGTCAGGGGGATGGGCACGCACTGTAGTGTGTTTGTGAGCCAGCCTTGCCCCCGGGTCACCCCTGGCAGCCGTGTTCGCTCTGCCTCTTTGCCACACCTGGTAGAGATGTGCATGGAGGAGGACTTCTAGAACTTCTTCAGAAAGTCACAAGAATGATAGGACAATTATGTTCAAAATGAGCGGGAACACTTTGGGGGTCATCAATGGCAATGTGTCTTTTGCTGTAATAAAATTTGTCTTTAACCATCCTTTGCATATTTTGGTCACATTCCGTGCTATCTGGGGCTCCACAAATGATCAGCCCTGGTCACTTTTTCAGATACTGTGCTCAGTTCTCTGCCTGATATGGCCACTTGGTTGTCTGAAATGCACCTGAAGGGTAAGAAATGTGGCAAAAGCCAAAGTCATGACTTTCTGTCACAAATGTGTTCCTCCCAAAGTGTTCCAAATGAAATCATTACAATCTTTGATGTCATCCACTTCTCCTTTGTCTCAAACCTCACCTCTAAACCAAAGGCAAATTCTGTCCATGCCATTTTTGAAATCTGTGCTCAGCCTGCAGCCATCCCACCTGGGCCTCAGCATCTCTTGGGGAAGAGCTTCAACATCTTTGCTTTCTGCCCGCCTGTACTAATTCTTCCAGTCCACAACTGTTTTCTATCTCATGGTTATATTGCTCCTTTGTTGTAACAAGAGTGTGTCACTCCCTGCACATGACCTTCCAGTCACGTCCCATCACTCTTGAAATACACTCAAAATGTTTAGCAAGGCACAAGGTTCTACATCAACTGGATTCCAACTACCTCTCCTCTACTGACCCTTTTGTCTCTCTCATACAAGTTTTCGTGGTCCCTTCTCAGATCATTAGCCCTTGCTGTTCCCTCTGATGGAATCCTCACCCTCATGGCCAGACAGGTGGTTCGCTCTTTATTTCATTCATTTTCCTTCCCAAGAGTCACCTCAGAAAGCTAGATCCTGAGCAGCCTCTATGAATCACCATCCTGTAACCAAGTGTTTATTTCCTACTACTCTTGTAACAGTTCCATGGCTTAAAGAAGATGGACACATCTTAGGTCAAAAATTAGTTTCCCCAGACTAAAATTAAGGTGTCAGAAAACCTAACATCCTTTTGGAGACTTTAGGGAAGAATTGATTCCAGGCTTCCTCCATCCGCTAGGAGTTGCCTCATTTCCAGGCTCTGGGGCCCTTCTTCCCTTTTCAAAAGCATCAGTCTAATGTCTTCTTTCAGCTTCCATCGAGAAATGTTCTGTCTTCCTCTGACTTTGACTTTTCTCTCTTTTCCTCTTACAAGGAAACTAGAGACTCACTGGGCCTGCCAAAAACTCCTAACTTCACTTCATTTGCAATGTTCCTTTTGCAGTAAAGATAATGCATTGACATGTTCAGGGGTTAGGAGAAACATCGCAGCCTGTCCTACTGTCTTTGGCCCACTTTATTTTTCTTAATAATTTTTATTTCTTACCTATTGACTTCTTTATTTATTGTCTAGTTAATGCACTTAGTAGCAGCAGTAAAATATAAAAAAATCCTCAATAAATATTAAGTAGTGATTTGTTCTTATAACAGAGTTTATGTTCTTTGACAGCAGAAAAGTTACCTTGTTCATTATTGAATTCCCAATATCTGTTTCAGAGCCTAAGTGGTTGATAAATACCTGAAAGAATGATGAAGTTCTTCAACCCTTATCTGCAACAAGTCCGATACATTAGTCAATTGATCACTGCTGACACCAATACCTAAAATTTATGGGCTTGTTTTGACTCACAATTTGCAGAGATGTCAGTCCTTGGATGGTCAGTTGGATCCAAGACGGAGATAACATAGCAGGAAGAAATAAAGAGAATCCAGGGATAAGAATAGACCTCTCCAGGTCATGTCCCTAGTGACCTGTCTTTCTGACCAAGCCACAGCTCCAGCATATTCAGCCTTAAACTCGTTCCCATGTGATCCAATCACTTTCCAAAAGCCTATCTCTGAGTTCATCAGACTTTAGGTAGACATTTTATTTTATTTTATTTTATTTGCATTCAGGACAGGGTCTACAGGATCTACAGGGTCTCAATACACAGATCAAAATCATAGTGATCCTCCTGTTTTCAGCCTCCCAAGAGCTGGGATTACAAGTGTACATCACCACACCCAGTCTCTATCACCGTCTTAGTGCACCTCTGGGAGGTGGAGCATCACACCCCGGGTTTCAAACCCCAGCTGCTGTGCTCTGCCTAAGCAGGCCCTTTAGTCCATTGAGCTATCAGGCTGGGCCTCTAGGGAGACATTTTGGATATGCCATAATGTATTTCACCCATGGCCTCCAAAAAGATCATGTCCATAGAATGCATACTAAGAACCCCTAAGAAGTGAGAAACAAAGGTAAATGCTAAAGGCTGGCCAGATATCTCAGCAGACTAAAGTGCCTGCTTAGGCAGAGCACTGTGGCTGGATTCAATCCCTGGTGTACTATGCCAGCCCCGCCCCTGGGGGCACATTGAGACAGCTATTGAGACTGGACATGGTGGCACTCGCCTGTAATCACAGTGCTTGGAAGGCTGAAAACAGGCAGATCACTACACGTCTGATCTGTATAGTGAGACCTGTAGACCCTGTACTTAAAAAAGAAAAAAAATTAAAAAGGTAGATACTTCCAAGACCCAATGGCACAAGATAAACATTCTCATTCTAAAAAGAAAGAATAACAAAATAGGAAGCAGCAGTTTAAAGCAAGACTGAAAACCAGTAGGGCAAATACTGAACCCTATAATAGCACCCATGGTAAGTTACAATGAGATATGAACTGAGGAGCCTGGGTGCCCTGCCTCTTCGGCCTTGCTGATTGCAGCCCAGATGGCCTCTCTCTTGGACTTGTTCTCCTTGTTACCTGAGACTTTTCTCAGCAGACATTCTACTTTTCTAGTAATTCCAAATTCCTGGGGTGTCCAT